CCCCCCCCCCCCCCCCCCCCCCCCCCCCCCCCCCCCCCCCCCCCCCATGCCGAGCTGTCGGAGTCTGGCTCGCACAGCTTGTTGGTAAGTCAAGTAAGTTGGATCCAGCTTAATATCATACCCCCTCCCCCACGCGCATCCAGCAGCTGCGGGAGTGCAGGGCCACAGCTAGCCAACGTGTACCAAGGCCAATAGAGCGGCAAAATGGTACATATACTCGCTGCCGTGCTCCGTCCTCTTTTTCTTGAATAGGTTAAAAACACGACCATGCCCCAGTCCCGAGGTCGCCTCTTCTGTTCCCTTTTTGCGTCAGCATCTCGTGGTGTCTTGTCGTCTCTCGGGTCTGGGGCTGTCGTCCTGCCACATGTGTGACGGAGCAACATGCGCCGTGTGCCCTGCTGAGCCGTTGTTTCTCCCAAGTCCTTCTACCGAGCCGTGGTGAAAATGAGCATCAACGATCCATCTACAGATGATGCGGTGCCGACGACAATGGCAATGGCGGCTCCGGGCGTCCAGGCCCGCGGCACTGCGTTGAAGCTTCCTCCCCTTGTCCTCGACAACTCAATGCCCAATCCTGCAGCCGTCATTGCCGGCCGCTCAATGCATCAGATCCAACTAGAGATGGAGTACGATGCGGAAGAGAGCGACAATGATGCTGATCATGGTCCCTCGATACAAGGCTGGCCTGGAGGACTGGAGCGGCACACAAGCGACCACCCGGACGACCTGGGCGATCTGGCCATGAGGGAAATGCACGCCCTATGCGTCTTTGACGACGTGTCCGTGCCACCCTCTGCGCGGCCCTGGTCGTATCTCATCGAAGCGTTGAGTCCAGTCCCTACCGTGCGCAGATGGGGGAGATGGCGATGGCGGGAGGAGCCTGCATTCGCCGAGGTTCGAGTGGCAGAAGCAATCATGATGTACGAGAGGGGCATAGAGCAAAACACCAGCGACCGACGCTGCAGCCGTTGCCGTGCCGGGCAAGGCATCTCTCCCCAGTGCGTTGTATCACCAGAAGGAATCGGCCAAGCGCCGGGAGTGACGGGGCCGTGTAGCAACTGTCTTTATGACGGCGTCGAGCACGCTTGTAATGCATCTGGGAGGAGGACTCCCGTGGGAGGGAGCCGGGATCGAGGAGGCGAGAGCATGAGAGACCCGGACAAGGTCGTGGACCACATGGCCGTACTCGAGATGATTGCCCAGCTCAAGAGGCCATCCGGTACGCGCAGGGATCATAGTCTTTTGGAACGGGCACGGCGGATCGAAGCTGCGGCTTTGCAGATTGCCCAAGCGGCAAGGGATTGGCGGGAGAAGATGGGAGTTCAAAGTTGAAAGGCTCGGACGGCGGATAATGAGCAAGGGTAATGGTAATTCTCGCCTAATAATGGACCATGTCGGCCAACATCAGCTTCTGGTTGGCGTTGTATACGGATAGGGAAGGGAAGGGCACATGAAAGGGCATAGGGATGGCATAAGCATAGGTAGATATCCATATATGGTAATGAGTAAACGAACCAACGATAGAATCACCAGTCTGATGGGAGAGAGAAGTGCCCCGATGCGTTATTCGTCTCGTTCCATGCCATTTCCCCCTCTTTGAACCTCAGCCGCCGGTTGGCTCGTTATTATGCAGCCACGGAAGGCCCTTGTTAGCACGAAACATTCATGCTGCGTATCGGCTCAATGGGCCGCTGCGTCGGAAAGGATTTGGGGGGATTTGGCTATTGAGACAGTAGAGGGGAAGCAGGACAAGCGTTTGGTTCAAGAGTGATGAAGGGGAGAAAAAAGGAGAAGAAGAAGAACAGAGGAGAGGTTGATACTTGTCATGGTCGTGAGCAGGTGCGTGCCTCGTGGTAGCCCGTCTGGTTGCTGGGGTTTCGCCTGGGTATAGGCACCTTACGTATAAATCATTTTGCCTCTTCTGCGCCCTCAGTTTTGCCACAAGCAGGGGAAGGGGAAAATCAAAACCACACAATAATTGTGTGTGCTTGTTTGGCGGAAAGATGGCTGGAAAAGGGAAGAAAGAGAAGAAAGAAGAAAGTTGGGAAGAAAGTTGGGAAGAAAGTTGGGAAGAGAGGAGAAATACAAGGGAGAGCTCCCAGCCTCGACTTACAGCGTCAAAGTGCGGCTGCAGGCCCTGGTTCCATATCAAATCTTCCCGGTTTCCCTCAATCCTCCCATCTACCAGGGTATTTGTCGTGGTAGTGGGCGCCCCTACATGTATGTTCATGTATGCTTTCCTTTTTGGATATCTTGTGATCAACCCAACCACACACACGCGCATCCTAATGTAGGCATTGCTGGCCCTACCATGCGAGCCACAGCCTGATGGCAATTTACCTGCTACAGCCGCCATCTGGCCTCGTTTTTGCCGCTAGAAACCGTCTTGGCAAAGAGCCGACGAGGAGGACCAGATACAGATGCCTCGGATCGAGTTTGGACACCGGCCGTCTCCGTCAGGTTTACGAGAGGCTGGCTGACCCTTGAGCGACCGCAGCCAGACACCGAGGCCCTTGCCTGTGTGCTTTACAGGGATCAACGGACGATCAGCCAGCTACGGGATACACCCGGGCCTTAGCAGAGCATGTCTCTGCATGAACAATGCGGGGGACGAGGCTTCAGTCGGCATTACCAGGCTCGATCTGCGCCGTTCCGCACGGCTTGCGGATATACGAGTTGCCCTTTGGCGTGCTTTGGCGTGATGCTCTCGGCCAGAACCGACGTGGGATTTGCCCTGCTCCACACGCTTCCGTAGACCTGGTCCTGGCATCAGCAGATATGGGATTTGGAGGGCATACCTATACTGGAAGTTAAAAGACATGCAAAGACGAGGCTGTGGCCCAGCACCCTGCATGGACACCTAGGGTAAATATGTCGTTTTCGGCACACAATCATAACCGTAAGGATTCAACGCCCGCAAAATTCCTTATCGCCGGAGTCTGACTGTGCCGTCGTCATCAATTGAAGAGGGCAAAAAAAAAATCTCCGAAGGGCAGCCAGCCTCTCTGCAATTAGTCAGGGTTGTGGCAACCCGGGATTTATTTCGGGGTATCAGGAATTCGCTGGTTCTGGAAATGTAAGGATTTCCCTTGGTTGATGGTCCTCTTATTTTCTCTTTCGGAATCAGAGATTGATGGAAACAAGAGAATGTCGAGGCGATGTGCCGTTTGATTGCTCATGGGACGCGGCCAATTGGTTTTATTTATTAGCTCATTGAGACCAGAATGTGTTTGTTTTTCCTAGGAACGATGAATGTTAACTTGATCGGATATTTCACACGTTCACTGATGAAACACCTACCTGAAGACCATATCCAACTAGAATTGCTAGAGTTTTTTTCCTTCTAGAAGCTGCTATCATCTTCCCATGGATTACAATTGATCAAAAGAGCCGGGAGAACACAATCTTTGGTATATTACATCTTCATTGTAGATTGAGACAGCATTTTAGGTGATACGAGAGAAAACAAGTTCCGGCCTCTGTTGGATGAGAAGCGCACAAAGTGT